TGTTCTCTCTCCTAGATGCATCTCAGACATGACATCTTCCAGGGCTGGGAAGGCCTCTGAGATCTGGCAGGGACCATCTGGGGGTTTTATCTCTTTCTGCAACAGAGAACATGAGTCGTTTGTGGGGAACATCTGGGGATATTTCATTTAATCAGGTTTTTTACTGCTCTTGTGGCTTTGGGTATTAGCACTGTCTCTGCTACTTCTGTTCCAACAGAGGCATGCAGCAGCTGGGTCTCCTGAGAGTCAACTAAACCATATTATTGGCTCCCTCCAGGGGTAGCTGGGTGAAACTTAATAGTCCATGAGATACAAAAAGTCAGTAGAAATGATCTAATGTCCCTTTCTAGTCTTAAACTCAGTGAAATGGTGAAAATTCTGCTTCTAAAGGAAATGGCAGATGAGCAGTTGCTAGGATCTCCTACCAGGCCTCTTCTGCAGCAGTGTCCATGGGGAGCAGTTCCCTTTTTGCAGTTCTGTTTGCAGACTCTCAGCAGAATTGCACCATTTTCACTCCTGGAGACCAAATCCTCATTCTCATCCGTCCATGCAGCCCATTTGCCCTTCCTCCTCCCTCAAATCCCAAGACTGTTTCAGCCCCTCTTTGTGGCGACCATTGCTGAGAGAAAACATTTTGGTTTCCCTTCTGCTTTTACCAAAATCCAAATGAGCTCTCTGTTATATCTGACATCTGCCCTTCACATGGATCAGATCAAACCTCCAGTACCAAAATATCCCTGGCCCTCCTAAATGCAGAAATCAGTCTTGTGCATCTACTCTCTCTGTGTCTGGTTGAGAGCTTTAGCCGCAAAAAGTCTACTAGGAATTTTTATATACTCTAAACATCTCTTTTGTTTTCTTCTACTGCAGAGAAAATGTGCGATTTAAAGTTGTGGACGTGTATTTTTCTTTTTCTTGGAAGCATTTGCAAAGGTGGCCAGAGCTGCCTCTTTTCAGCTGCTGAGTAAGGTGTCTGAACCTGCGTGTGCTTTCAGTAAAATCAGTGTTTCCTATCTCCAATTTAAATGCTTTACCTTGAATATTTCCATATGAAAAGAGAAACTCGAGATAAATTGCAGGACTAGAAATCCTAGAGTCTAGGGATTTGAAGCATGAGTGAAGCACGCACGCTTTTTCCTCATCTGAATTCAAGGACACACCAGCTCTGTGATGGCTGCCTTTCTGCAGAGGGAGAGGGGAGGCCTCTTCCTGCTTGCTTTACCGCATCAGTCACTTTTTAACTAATTTACAAAACTATTTTGATTTTTTCTGTAAGAATTGTTTTTAGAACGGTCTGAGGAGCTCTCACCTCACCTGGCTGCAACAGGTGCTGTGGAGTTGTGTCCAAAGAGCAGATGGTTGTTGCTGAGTTGTCTTTGCAGCATAACCAGGTGACAATCAAGTTAGTGCCTCTGCTTTTACCTGATTTTGTTTGTGGAGTGGCACTAGGGAGTCTCGGTGAGACACCCTGTGTCTAGAGAAGGAGGGATATGGGACATCTGTGATACCTGGTACAGCAGACACTGGGAATGTCCCAGCAAGAAATCCCAACTGACTGATCTGGGTGAATATGGTAGTAGTCGCCATGGTTATCAATCATTATGAACTATATTTTCTGAGGGCTTGTTCAGAGGAAAACTATCCTGTAATTAATTACAAATGCATTGTAAGATAATAGCATAGTTACAGCCCAGAATAGATGTTCTCTGTCCTTCTTTCCATTTCTGCATCCCAGAGACCAAGAATAGCACATGCAAACTGTCACGAATGTCTGCATTTACATCCAAGTAAACACCCTTCACTCATGCTCGCATCCTTGGATATGCAAACATTTATGCTGTTGCATTTCACCCAGTTTCCCGCCTGCAGGAATGAGCTTCAGAGGCTGAACTGTCCAAATTCCACTGCTAGAGCTGATTACCAGCTGGACTGCAACTCTTCTGTAGGAAAAGCCACCCTCTGGCCATCTATCTGTTAAGAAGTAGTTGGCACGAGGCTTGAAAAATGTGATGTTATCACCAGCCAATTGACAGAAGAGCTCAACTTCTTGGACCTTCCAGTCCAGCCTGATCTATAACACTTTTATGTTTCTTAATGTTTTTAGAAAAGCATCAGTCAGAGGCTAGTGACTGATGAGGAACTGATAAGCTTCTTCCCCATTAGAAAAAGAGTTTAAAATACTTGCTTCCTCTAGTTAAGGTTTATTTAGGGTTATTAGGAAGTTGAAGAGCCATCAAATGATAACACAATTGTTAATAAATTTGCTTAATAAAACAATTAAAGAAGCTATAAAGAAATTCCAGTGATCTCTTGGTGTGTTAAAAAAATGGCAAGTAACTTCTTTTTAGTCTTGTTGGTTAAATTCATTTGGAACATCTGTAATTTAAAATAGTCCTGAGATAAAATAATTTTGCAGCCACCGCTTTTACATTATGCCAAGTTCACTCCCAGAAAGGTGGCTGCAGTTCTCGCTCTTTTCATTTTTCCAGATTAATTGACACAACAGTTTCTTTGTTGTTCTTTGGGTGATAACCCTCAGCAAGTCTTTTTTTTTTTTTTTTTTTGCCAAATTACCTGCCTTGTTCCTGGCCTCTCTTAATCTGAAAGTACAAAGCAAGCTAGGGTTCTTTCCAAACTTACTAATGATAAAGACTGTTCGTTCTCCCAGTTGTCTTTGGTGCAATCTGTTTCAAACACTGGGATTGATGAGTGTCTCAGAACAGTGTAGGAGGGCTGCCTGAGCGTGACTGAGCCACAGAGTTAAAAAAAATAAAATAAAAAAAATAGATAATTTCAAATAGAATGTAAAATTCAAGGAAGCCATGGCTTGCCTAAAACAAAACAAACCAAGCCAGCTAAGTTTATTGTCTGGATTATTAATTGTGCTGGATTGTTCAGCTGCCCCAAGCATGTCGCTTTAATCATTCGGCGAGTCTGAAGCCTGGGTCTCCAGAGATCGTGTTCTGATCTCTCACATATGGTGTGTCTCACCGTTCATTAGACCCACTGGTCCAGTCACATGGAAATAATGTTCTGACTATTTCTATCCGTATCTGCTACTTTTCTTCCTGAATGTGTCAGTATCATGATGAGGGCAGTGACTCTGGCTGATACAGATACAGTGGCTGGTTGCAAAGACAGACACTGCCAAGAAAATACAGAGAAGAGGATTTTATTTCTGTCACAGTTCAGGCTTCACGAGAAGTCCCTGCCCCGCAGAAATAAAAATTCCCTTGTGGGGAAGGAGGGTGCTGAGGTATGTGAGATGGTGGTTGCTGAGCAGTGAAAAGAAGATGTCTGACCTTGAGGACAAACTGCTGGGCTGGGGTGCCCAAAACCTGGGCTCAGCTCTAAGAGGAAGGGAAAATTCTAAACAGTGTCATGAGATTCAGTTCTCAGCTCTCGACACTCTGCCATTTCAGAAATGCGGCTGCTTTATTTTGGTGGTGAGATGGGAGCGGGGACTCGCTTTACCCAGTGGCAAGCAGGATGTCTTGCTCTTCGCTCTGAATACTTGATGGTGGCAGTAGAGAAGTGAGGAACAAGGTAACCTTATCCAGGTTTCTGTAAGCCAGTCAGGGATGACTTCTGGTCCCTGTTGGAAGGACAGAGCTTGGATGGAGCTCAGCTGAGGATGCAGTAAGCTCATGTTTAGGAGCCTGTCTCCAGCCACACATGCAGAAGGTTCAGTACTGGCAGTTACCAGCAGAAACCAGGTCAAGGGATTCCCAAGCAGTACAGAGCACTTGCCAGGGGACCCCGAAATGTCACATACGACTTCTCACCCTGAGCTCTGTTGCGGGGGGGACTGGCGAGTGATGTGTGAAGTGTTGAGTCAGCATAAATGTCACAGCCAAAGGTCTTCAGAGTCAGAGTGACAACAGGAGAAGACAGCAGTGCCAGGAGTTCTGACACAGGGAAAACGTTGTCACTGCCACCACCTCTGGCTTGGAGATTTATTGATGGTAACTTGGGATGTGCCATAAACAGGGGTGATATTAAATGAGTCTGACTGTCTCCGGGGCTAAGTTTTACAACGCAAAGTGTGAACTCTCTATGCTTCTCTGAGATCCTGAGGCATTTTTCCAGCAGCTCCCACGATCTCATTAAGTGCTCTCCCGAGAAGGGCTCCAACCTGAGAGAGTCCTCCCTGCATAGCACAGCACAGCACCAGCTGTGGAGATCAGACACAAATATGTGCCAGAAAACCCAGTGAGCACTCCTCATAGAGACCTCCCAGGCCACCACCACTACCTCACTTGGCCCACAGCCTTCCCCACCATGGCTTTGTGAGGAAACCAGAACTTGCCATGCAAGTGTCCCCAAGTACCAATGCACCCCTGGTGTCAGAGGCTCTGACCTCAGTGCCAGCAGTTCACGCTCCAGGACAAACCTCCCTGAAGCTGTGCTGTGACTGCACTGAACCTAGGTGAACCTTTGCTGAGATGCCCTCTCAATATGGTCTCAGCTTCTGAGGTCAAACACATGGTTTCCTCCTGGAGTCATTGGCTGCAAAGGGCTGTGCTGTCATGCAAATGCTTTCCTTCTGCTCCGTGAATACATCTGCAATAGCAAACCTTAACTGCAGCCTTTCACCTTCACAATAAAACGGCTCTATGGACCAGACAGCTGCCATCCCAAGGAAGCAGGGCTTGGTGAGCCACCGTGCTTTTCTGCTGAGGGGTTCCCTTGTTCAGATAACATGTTTTATCCCAGAAGCAGCAAAATCTGCAGCAGAGCCCTGGGAATAGTGAATTCACTCTTCGATGTCACTTCTGCCTACCAAAGGTAAAGCAGATCTGTGGAGATCAAGGGCAGAGCACCCCATGGCCGCAAGCCCTGTTCTTCACAGGTTGCACTCACCAACCCACAGGCCTTGGGGAAAATGATCTAGTTCAGAAAGCTTGCAGTTTATCTCAGGAAAAAGGTTTATTTTGGTGACTTCCCTGAGAAGTCTCCTTGTCCTTCTGCCCTCATGACCTTTCTCTCTGCTCCTGCAGTCTGCTCACAGTTCTCCAAGGGCGTCTACGCCATCTTTGGATTTTACGAAAGGAGGACCGTCAACATGCTCACATCTTTCTGTGGGGCTCTCCATGTCTGCTTCATAACGCCAAGCTTCCCTGTTGAAACATCCAACCAGTTTGTTCTCCAGCTTCGCCCAGAGCTCCAGGATGCTCTCATCAGTGTCATTGAGCACTACAGCTGGCAGAAGTTTGTGTACATTTATGATGCTGACCGAGGTAAGTCAAAAATACATGGGAAAGATTACCAGGCAATTAAACATAGTGGTCTAGATGTAGACTTTGCCTGAAGAAGTTCTCTTACTCTGCTTTGCTGGAGGCTGAGCGGGTGGCTAAAGGAAGGGTCACCTTATGCCTTCCCTGTTCTCTATTCCTTTTCTAAATACCCATTACTGCTCAAGGTGGGCATTGATCTAGATAAAGCATTAGCCTGACCCAGTACATCTGTGTTCATAGGGTCAGCTCTGAATCCCATCAACACAAGGGAAGTATTTAATGTGTAAGTGATTTGAGTTTCAAATGGGGAAATAGGTCTGTCAAACTCAAGGCCACCAGGTCCCAGATTTACAAATGTGAACCGACAGCTGATCAGGTCCCACCTGTCCCCACATCCAGTGGTGATACGTGTGTGTGTTTCTGGCAGGTAGCCTGGAAAACTTCCAAGTTCCCTGTGTTAGTGAGTGTTAGTTGTCTGTGTAAAATAATGAAAGCCTTTGCTGGATTCTTGGAAGATACTATCCAGCTTTCTAAACCACGAACAGGGCTAGTGAGCTCATTGCTCTGTGATTCAGTTTCCCCAGCTCTCAGGTGCATTTAAAGCTCCAGCCTTGGAGGCCGAGAGAAAAATGTACTTGTGGAGAACAGCACAGAGGTGAGGGTGATTCACAGCTCTGTCCTGGAAGTTATCATTAGCCCTTGCAGGGACAGGATGACCTTGAGAGACAAGGAGAAGGTATAAAAGCATCCCACCCTGCTTTCTGTTGTCACGAGGTGTGGGCATGCTGAATATCCCAAAAGGACTGCAGAAGGCAGGGTTGGCTAGGAGGACTCCAGAGCGGTGCTGACTACTTGTAACTCCTCTGGAAGGCTGTGCATGTAATTTAGGCAATATCTTTTTAAAAATAACGAAGTTTTCTGATGAGATGCTGCCGAGAGAGACAGGGATGCTGAGTATGATTGTGTATTGTGATTGCTGAGGGTGTCCCTAACCCTAGGAGCATACAGCCTAAACAGATCAAAGATGAGAAGGAAACTATGGCCCAGAGAAATCAAGTGATTTGGGTAGTGACAGAGAAGAAGACGGGGATTAGAGTTCTTATCTGAATCCCACAGCAGGGCCTGATCAACGAGACTGATCTGCTGATACAGAAAAAGCAGGAGTCATTAATTCTAGCCCAGCTGTGTTTGGGTAAGATGCTAGACTATCAGTTGCTCTCTGTAGTTCTGCTGCACTCTTGCGGTGCTCTATCCAGCCTGGCTTGAGGCTGTCAGAAGGACAGAAAGGTGGCATTGCACAACTAAAACCTTGTTCTCTCCCTGCTGTCCTCTTCCCCTGTTTTCCCATCATAGGGTTGTCAGTTCTACAGAAAGTGCTGGACACCGCAGCTGAGAAGAACTGGCAGGTGACAGCTGTCAACATCCTGACAACAACAGAAGAGGGCTACCGTATGCTCTTCCAGGAGCTGGAGAAGAAGAAAGAAAGGCTGGTGGTGGTGGACTGCGAATCTGAGCGGCTGAACATCATCCTTAGCAAGGTTGTGTTGGTGTGGGTCATCTGGGAGAGGTCTTGCATGCAGGACAGGAAGGATTGTTTCTTCTGAAGAAGTTGTCCCTGTTCTTGTCTGATCCATGTCTCACTGCAGCTTTCATTGGATATGGTGTGTGTGCGTTGCAGCAGGCTGCAGATATTTCTCTATTGTGTTATTGTGACAACTATAAAGCTGTATAAATACTAGGAGGTCTCATGTATTCTTGCTGAGTGAGCTCTGCTGCTCCATGTTCCCTACTTGTTTGACTCCTCTGTTGAGCCCTTTACACCCCCTTACTCCTCAGCAAGTTTGCTTTGTGCTAATTCCTCCAAGCAGCATGCACAATACGTGGCACTTCCTTATTTTGCTGAGTTTTTCTCTGGTTTTCCCACCTCCTGTGAGTTAGGGTGGAGGTGTGAGTTGGCGCTGCCAGACTCCTGGTCCTCCAGCCTCTCTGTGCTGCACCAAATTCTCCCAACCAGTACCAGCAGGACAGGGACGGAGAAGTTCTATGTTACATCTGTAGTCCTCAGGAGCACTGTCTCCAGATCAGGCTAGAGCTCACCATCTTCCTAGGGTGTCCAGGCTATAGCAGGATTGGATGTGTCCAGTTTCTCTCATGCCTTGCAGCAAGAGAGACACATCCATCCACAGCCATCTCCTGGCTGTTATGTCAACTCATGGCCAGAAGGCAGGTGAGATATGCAACAGAGCACTCAGCAGCTAGGTTGTTTGCCCTGCCTTACTCATCCTCAATCTAAATAGGTTGCCCAGTAGTGAAGACCAAAATTTTCCCCATCCTCTTTCCTCCATGCCTCCCTTAATGCTTTCCCTAAGTCCTGAATATGGACTTCCGTGGGCAGGAGACCAATGCAAGCCCATGGAGAGGTCTCAGTCCACACTTGTGTCGCCTCTTGAACTCCAGCCACAATACCTTTCTCTCACGCTTACAGCCAAGGCCTTCCCCACCGCTGGGACTCCTGTCTCGCTTGGCTTAGAAAGGGCCCCACAGTGCCATGCAGGCAGCGTGCTGTGACTCCCGCTATCATACTTCTCATAACCACCTCACACTTACCTCGTGCTTCACATGTCGCCTTGTCTAAGCTACCTGTCATCTCCTGTCTCACACTTCAGCTGCTCGCTGTCTGGGGCAAGGACTGCCATTTCACCAGCTGCACAGCTCAGTGACGAGCACAATCCATCCGTGTTGGATGTCTCTGGGTGCTACTCTGTTATATATAATAACAAAGCAGGTAGCAGGTTTTAACCTCAAAGTAAAGGTCACACTCGTGAAGGAGAGACCAGATTATTCTGGAGGGTAAAGTCTTCTCTCTGACCATGGAGTAGCTACAGTTGAACAAAATTTTTGACAGGACCTAGGCAGTGAATTTGCCTTTTCTGCAGGTTTTCCTATAGAGTATATCAGTTTTCTAGAGTTAGTGATGGTTTTTTAAGCCTGGTTTGTCTAACAGAAATTTAAGTTCTGTAGTCAAATATTATCTAGTTTTCCTAATATGAACAGGAAAATAAGTCTTTCTTTCAAACTTCTTCACATAACTGGAGCAAGAGTTAAACTTAGATGTAAGAAAAGCTATTTGCAAGAACACCAAAAATCCAGATCTTGTGATTATTTGTTTTGCAATGCTGTAAAAACCATCCATTTCCAGGGAAAAGAGGGACAATGTTGTGTTTTCCTAAATTAAAGACAGAGCAATTGTAACAGACGACTGTGCCTAGGATGTAATGCTCCTGTTAGGAATAGGGCTGTGAATAACTTCTTCAGACCCATGTAGTCCATTTTCATCCTCATTTGCCTTCTTATTCTGAGTCCACAGGGATTTCTGAGCGCAGAGGTGGTTATCCCAGTGTAAGCAAGGGATTCCATGTCTTTCATAACACGCAGATGACCAGAGGGAGCCAAAGACAGTGTTTGGCTCATTATCACGTGAAATTCAGCTGGGACTTAAACGCAGGCTGGTGGCTAGTCTCGCAGCTCACTGCACCAGCAGCCTCTGCATGGATGTTTGCCCTGTTTCTTTGAGTGTCTGAGGTGTTCAAAGAGATGCCTCAGCCTTTCAGGGATGTTTTAATGCATTTGTCTTCTTCCCTGACAAGCCTCTTGTCTTTCGGTGGCTGTGGATTTGTGCTCCTTGGTGAACAGAAGAGCTGGGGATGGCTGTTTGGCATCAGTCCCTCACATGCACACGCTGGTGCTTGCACACACTTCTGATTTCTTCTCCCCACTCTGTACACATAAGAGAAATAACCACTGCTGCTTTCAGCAAGGCAGTCCTCGCATTCTGGAGACCGTAGCTGTAGAGGAGCCAGTGCTCAATGTGTTAATGATATGTGGGAAAATGACCTGATTTCTTTCTCGGAGATTTCTCTGTCATGTCTCAAGGGCATGATTTATCTTTGCTGAGGTAACTGTCATTTATGAGCCAGGCCTGGGTTCAGGGTAGCATATCTGCAGGGCTGTGCTGTGTAACCTTAATGGGATAAGTAAGTGGTGGGTTGTGTTCCATCAAAGCCCTGTATTGTTTTTTCCTTGTCTCTCATTAAAATGAGTAACTGGAATTTCTCCTTTGCCACTGTTTCACTCTGAGAGGATTTCTCTCTAATAGATGTCAAACTGGCCCATTAAGAAGTGGGTAATGAAACCTAGGTGGCCCAAGTGAGCTATCAGCATGCAGCCCAGCACAGACTCTCACCATGTTCAGGCTAAGTGATAAATGCTATTATAACCTCAGCTTGCTACCACCGTCTGGACACATTAGGACTGAGCAAGCATTTTAAAATAAATTAAGATCACAAATAACTGTGTAAAACACAGAAAGCAAGCCTCATAATTCAGGTGGATGGGCTGCAAGATTAACAGCTCAGGGAAAGCTGGATGGCAGCCCTCTCCAGTTCATCGACTCTGACACCTAATAAAATAACAAAGGGAGAGTTTGGGCTGAAGGAGCCAATGCCAGCTATTGTTGACACAGGGGAATTGGATCATAATTCTTAGACATCCCAGTGCCCTGGAGATGCTCCTTCCTCCCACAGGGTCTGGGTCTTACTGCAAAGGTCAGTCTCAGTTGATGAATGGAAAGGGACAAGTTGGGTCTGGTTTGCTTCTCAGATCTGGCAATGGAAGATACTCCAAAAACTACCCATAATAAAAGTACATATCTTCATAGCCTTAGGTATACAGTGTTTTTTTCTGAGGTCTCCAGACTGCTCAGCAGAAGCCATACTGAGGGATCCTCTGTGAAGAACCACAGGGCAGTGAAGCTGACATTAGTTGTGTAAGAAACTGCTACTAAACGAGGCTTTCATTGGCGTTAATTGCCACCCCCACGTTAATGCTGGGAACCAGATGAGTTTTAGTGTGCATACAAGAGCACTTCATCAGAGAAAGGTTAAGGCAGATGAACCAATTGCACAGAGCAAGTGTCAGCTCATTTATAATCCATTTGGAAATCCCTAAATGGCTGCTCAGGATAACCTGGGAGTGCTGTCCCATGGGGAGGATCAGTCTGTGTGTGCCCTCGTCTGACTTTTCTCAAACACCTGCTGGCAGCCTGCTGTCAGAGAGAAGTCCTGGGCAGACCGATTTCTGGTCAAATCCAACACAGCAATCATTTTATTATCATTCTGGCTGTGAGGATCTTTCTGGCCTCGCTACTGTTCATGCAGATTTTGCCTGAGCATTGGCAATGCAGGCAGTAACTCAGAATCAATTCTTATGACAATGGAAGTAAGAGGTGGTGTTGCCAGCAGAGAAACCTTATGCAAACAGCACAGTTCTCTCAGAAACTGGCAATTCTTACAGCTTCTGAGGGCATGTTGTTTTGGGCTTTTTTTCCACTGTCTTCTTTCTGTATGTGGATTGGCTCAAATGCAGATGGTATATGGCTCTAGTAACCTGGTAAGAACTTAACAGTGCTGCTGGAAAACAGTGGAGAGGAGTTTCAGTGGAAACATGGAGTCAGCAAGAATAATGTGATTTTTAGCTGTACTCTTTCTGTATTTTTTTTTTAAATCAAGGGAGGAAAAGCCAGTTAGGGACCATCTGATCAATGACTGTCCTCCATAATCACAGGTAAGCCTGCAACAGGTGGTACCTTTCTACCTAGACAAGGGAAACTTTTCCAGCTAACATAGAAACTTCCAAATGTTACAGATCTATAAGAAATTGTGTTGATAAAAGAGAATAAAAACCTAACTCTGCAGGCGTCGAGGAGAAAGGAGTAAGTGGCAAAGAACATGTATTGGGATGCCATGAATGTGAAGATATAAATAATCTCAGCAAACATATAAGGGGAATCTTCTGTGACTTGCACAAGCAGCTTTGTTCTAGAGATGTGGGTTGAAGCTACCCCAATGCACTAAAGGAGAAAAATTGCCCTAGAGTCTAACCTTCCTGACATCTCGTCCAGGTAGGTGTCTGCAGCAGGGACTCTAACTCGGAGGGTGTGCAAAATAACCCTCTAGTCTTTCTTGATGTGTCAGCTGCATTCACAGGACAAATGGACCCCAGCTCCCCATTTTGTTCCTTTAGCATCTGAAATAAAAGTCTTGTTTAACCTTTTTTTCCTCAAGCTCATAGGAGGCATGTTGGTTTAGGTAGTTCACTCTCTCTGCCTGTGGAATCTCCTTGAGGATCTTGTCCTGACTAATTGCAGACTTGTTGGTCAAATATCATGTGTGAAAGCTCTGTCCTTCCTTTAACAAGATTGTGAACTTTTATTTTCTATGTCTTCCTGTCCACAACTGAACAATCTCATGGGGGAAAATGGGGGGGAGGAAGGGCAGGTAAATGAAGCTTTTCTTCCTTGGTTGGTCTCTGCTAAATATCCTTGGTTTTCATCTTGCAGATCATCAAGCTTGAAAAAAATGGGAATGGATACCACTACATTCTGGCAAATTTGGTGAGTTGCCCTAATTGGTGGTTTTATTTTGCTATCTCATATTTTGTAAAGTACTATATTTACAGTTACTGAGCTGGACATCTTTTTTCTCATCCACCTTTTGGGTAAAAAAATACCAAAGTCCTTTGTGGCATTCTCCTTGTGGTGTTATCTCTCTTGAGCCAGGAAGTTTATCTGCAGGTTATCTCCAAGGTTGCTGGGGTTTTGTGGTGGGTTGACCCTGGCTCGACACCAGGCGCCTGCTGTTCTAGCACTCCTCTCCTCAACTGGACAGGGGAGAGAATATACAACGAAAGGCTTGTGTGTCAAGTTAAAGACAGGGAGAGATCACTCGCCAGTTGGTGTCACAGGCAAAACAGACTCAACTTCAGAAAAAAATTTAATTTATTACCAATCAAATAAGAGTAGGATAATAAGAAATAAAATCAAATCTTAAAACACTTTCCTCTTCCCCCTCCCTTCTTCCCAGGCCTAACTTTACTCCTAATTTTACCTACCTCCTCCCCTCCAGTGGCACAACAGGACAGGGAATGGGAGCTGAGGTCAGTTCATTGCACATTGCCTATGCCGCTCCTTCCTCCTCAGGGGGAGGACTCCTCACACTCTTCCCCTGCTCCAGTGTGGGGTCCCTCCCACAGGAGACAGTTCTCTACGAACTTCTCCAGTGTGAGTCCTTCCCATGGGCTACAGTTCTTCACAAACTGCTTCAGCATGGGTCCTTTCCACAGGGTGCAGCCCTTCATGAACAGACTGCTCCAGTGTGGGTCCCTTCATGGAGTCACAAGTCCTGCCAGCAAACCTGCTCCAGCCAGGGCTCCTCTCTCCACAGGGCCACAGCTCCTTCCAGGAGCCTGCTCCAGCACAGGCTTCCCACAGGGTCACAGCCTCCTTCAGGCATCCACCTGCTCCAGTATGGGGTCCTCTATGGGCTGCAGGTGGAGCTCCACCATTAACGCCCATGGGCTGCAGGGGGACAGCCCGCCTCACCATGGTCTTCACCACAGGTTGCAGGGGAACCTCTGCTCCGGCACCTTCAGCTCCTCCTCCCCCTCCTTCTCCACTGACCTTGGTGTTTGCAGAATTGTTTCTTTCACATATTCTCACTCTCTTCTCCGGCTGCAGTTGTGCAGGTTTTTTTCCCCGTTCTTAAATACATTATCCCAGAGGTGCTACCACTATCACCGTTGGGCTCGGCCTTGGCCAGCAGCGGGTCTGTCTTGGAGCTGGCTGGGATTGGCTCTATCAGACGTAGGGGAAGCTTCCAGCAGATTCTCACGGAAGCCACCCCTGTAGCCCCTGCCACTACCAAAACCTTGCCACAGAAACCAAATACAGGGTGTTTTTTCTCTCCAGCTTCGATCTGCACCTTTTTAAAGCTGGTTAAATCAACTGTCTGCTAATGCTTCTTGTAGTAATGATTGCTCCATGTGTCATGGGCACCTGGGATCCTGGCTTTGCCCTCCTACCTTGTTTCAGTTGGGCCAAAAAGAGGCTGTTGACTGTTGGCAACAACTGGCCTTTTCTTACTAGTTTTAACCCCATTTCAATATGTGTCCCCCAGGTGAAGTCCCAGCCATCCTCAGAGTTCTGCTAAGGGCAGCCTTGTTAATGACCATGCACTGAGATCCCTCTGACTTTCCAGTAAAAATAATATATGTACCTATTCTTCAACTTAGTTCTAAGTAAAATCTGACCGTCATGGCTCTAAGGAATTAATTGGATGCAAAGGTTTTTTAAGGAAAGGATTCTCCCTTTAATGCAGCAAGGCACTGCCTGAGGACAGAGAAATATTGGGCAGCAGCAGGGAGTAATATCCTGTCCTCTCCTAGGAGGCTGGAGAATTTCTCTGCCTAGAGAGGTTTGGGAAGAGGTAAGACAGAGGAGTAGCCTCAATCCATAGGGCAGCTGGAGGTTGTTCACAGCAGAGCTCCTACGCTCTCCTCCCCAGATGTCTCTGTCCATCCAGGGGCATGCACAGCAGAGGACAGGCTGGTGTCAGCAGGCTGGGGCCGAGGCTGCTCCCCCCAGGGCCCACTGTGTCCGTGCGGGGTGGGCCATGTGCAGGTCTGGAGGCATTCTTCCCTCCCACAGCTGCGTCTGCGAGGCACGACGTCAGGCCTGGGGTAATTAAACTTTAAACTACCAATTAGTCAAGCAGTTGCTGCCATTTTCCTTCTCTCAGTCCCAAGATAAGCTTGTAATTTACAAGACAAAAATGGCCACATAATTACCCTGCAATGCCCTGATACTGACCCTGCACTTCTGCGCTGGGCGCCTACCATGTAATTACAAAGTTAAAAATGTTACGTTGTGCAGGGGGAGACTCACAAACTGTAGAGCAGCCAATAACTTAAGTTGCTAATTTTAAAAAAAATATTATTTGCTGCAACCGAGGTCCCGGTCCTCAGACATTTATGAAAGTCCCTTCATTAAAGTTAAGCAGGGAAGCTACATGGAGTAGCTGGAGTGTGCGTGACTGTACGCTTTTATATATACCCATGCGGAAGGCTAAATGAGAATGATATCACCTCTTCTCTCTGAGCAGTTTCATAACAATAAATATATTAAAGGCATGAGGTGGTCTAATACTCAGGTGTTGGAGTTTTGAAGGACATTTCCCTCTGTCTTATGATACCACTCTCTCCCACTTTCAGCCTGAGAAAGCACGCTTTTGCCATCTTTAATTTGTTTTCTTAGCCTTTGCACAAATGCTGAGAGGACAGAGCTGTCTGGAAGAGGCTGCATAGTCAGCCAACATCGGTTATAAATAATTAACTCAGAGCAAAAGGCTTTTCATTTCCCCAGCCCCTCTGCAGGGAGATTCTGCCTCCCTGCTGCAGCTCAGCGGAGGGTGCTTTGGGTCGCTGGACCCACAGGGTCTGATGGGACTACCAGAATCCACTGTTACTAGCTGTGCTTTTCAAGCAGCTTTGATTTGGGGGAAGAAGAAGAAGAATGAAAGGAATTCAAGCTCTTTCCTTTGCTTTTTTCTGCTTCTTAAAACCTAGTATTGCACAAGAGCCAAACTCCAGAAAGAGGAATATGGAAAAAAAAAAAGGAGAAAAGAAAAAAGTAGGGGATAAGCGGACAACATGGGAAAACTAAATTTAAAAAAAAAAAGACCAACTTTGTGATTCTTCTGTGCACACAGGCAGGTTCAGGCACCAGAAGCCAAATCAGTTTTTGGATGTGCTGTACCCACACGAGAGCTACTCACTGATGGTTCAGCGAGAATGGCAAAAAGGCTGTGAAGATCCCGTGTTCCTGAGACCATATGGCAGGGAGGAAGGACAGCAACCCTCCCTGTGCAGGGATGGCCAGGGATGTTAGAAGGGATTTGCAGAGTGTGGGAAGTTGGTGTCTGGCAGGGTTAAACCATAGTGTGGATGCTCTCATCCGAGAGATCGCAGTAGGCTTTACCCTCTTCTAAGGACATCTCATTGCTGGATTAGAGCCTTCAGAGGGTGTAACGTGCTGTAATTTATTCCCGCTGACTCATACACATAGTGGATCGACCTCAAACACCCCACATTTTCCCTTGTAGACAAGTCCTAAGATGACAGGGCGTGCATTGCCCACACACACACACATACCCTCATGTGCACACCCGCATGCTTAAAAAACAGCCTGATTCTGTGGAAGTGGCTCATTCTGGAGTACTGGGTCATAAGAGAATAAATTAAGAACCAAAAACTGCAAGTGCCTGAACATTTCCAGATAAGTTCTGTTTTTCTCCCCTGCGCTAACTGATGGAGTCCTGATTTTAGGACTCTCATCCTGTATGAAGATAAAGCTCCCAGCCCTGGCTTAGACAGGCTCTGCCTTGCACGAGTCAAGTCAGTCTTCAGCTGGTTCATAGCCACCAAGTTGCCTGCACTAGCTGGAGCAAGGGGATGAATTTTCAATACCTGCTTTTTGTAACACTGCCTAACCTTCTTGGGCCCTTTCCGGTGGTGAAACAATTATGGAAATGACACATTGGAAACAAATGTTGGGAAATATTTACAGGTAAACCCACTGAAATTCTTATTTTTGGCTATATGCTTGTTCAGAGCTATACTCAGCCAAAAACCAAGCAGTAGCACACTACTG